GTGGGCAGGGGTGGCTTTGGGTCTGCATTCGGCTCATCATCATGTGGACGGTTCGTGGAATCATCTCGTTTTGGGAGGACTTTCTGTTCTTCTCAGACCTACTTGGTGAAGTCTCAGCACTTGATTTATGAAGGGTAATTAGGTAAAGGCTTCGCAGGGCTCCATTTAGAGTTCTTGCAGTCAGTCGTCATTTTGTACAATTCTGAAAAATATTTTTAGCCCTAGAAGAATAGAAATGTCTGCCTGAAATGCTTGTCTCTCACGAAGCCAAAGCTCTTGATGATTGTGTGTGTGTGTGTAATTAAATTTATATCACCTAATCCATAACATCATAGAAATTGTACAAGTCAGTGGGGCAAGTGACATTTCAGTTCACATAGACACTGTGCAATTTAAGTTGGGTTAAACATACTTATTGCCCTGATCATTTATCACTTCTCTACAATGAATACCTTTAGTATACTTTCTGCAGCTTTTTGAAGTATACAACTCATTGATTTTTGTTTTTTGAAAGAGCTGTGTATATACAAAGTTTTAAAAATGAATCAGCCAGCAAGGCTTGTGTAAAAAAAAAAACAAAAACCAAAGCATCTTGAGGCTTCGGTCCCTTCCTCTGGTTTTCTCGTCTACCCACTGTTGTTTTGCTCTTCTTGTTTCCTGACCTTTCCGTGCTGGCACTGCTGTCTGCCCACTGTGGAAGATACAGGATTAGCTCCCTTTCTGTCTCTGTCTGCCCAAATTTCTCACCACCCTGTCCTTCCAGGGTTGTTGTATGGGAATTTCAGTTTGCTCTAAATTACATTAGTATGACTGTAATCACAGTGGAAACGTAGTAAGCTATGATTATTTTTCTTTTCCCCGTGCAGCGTTTTGTTTTCTTGTGATGTTCTATTTACTTAACTTTCTTTGTACTTAGCACTGACTTGTCCCCCAACTTTTCACCAATCATCTGAATTTTCTCTTGGCGCTGTCTTGGATGTGCTGCTGTTGTATCCAGGGTCCCCTCTGACCTGCTGCACTGAGGCCCTGGCCGTCTGCTGTCCCACTGTCATCCTGGGAATGCCGATCTCTGTCCTGCCCATATTCCCTTTCCCGTCTCCCGTGCTAGGGCTCTTCTTTCCTATGTTCTGTGTCTTACTCTCTCTTGATTATCCCCTTGTATGGCAGGACACATGCTGAGAAAGGAGGAAAGGAGAGATCAATCATCTGAGAAATTGCATGTGTAAAATATCTTCATTTGGTTGCTTTTATATGTGGCCTTTAATGCTTCCAAGCTTGAATTGTAACTGTGAGAGGGAGAGGGAGAGGGAGGGGGAGGGGGAGGGGGAAGGGGAAGGGGAAGGGGAAGGGGAAGGGGAAGGGGAAGGGAGAGAGAGACAGAGACAGAGACAGAGACAGAGACAGACACACACACAACGAGACTGTCATTCGGTGGGGTGTAGGAAAGGAGCCACACTAGAAATGTTTAACTGACGCCATTCTCCAGGCAGCATCCTGTAACTATACACATTATAAATACAACACACATGTCTTTTCGGTTTGAGCTCAAGAATTAAACTGATTTGGGAAATCAGTTCAAAGGGGAGCTTGTTCTTTTCAGGTGATGGAGTAGAATTGGTGCTGCTCAGCTGGGCCACTGAAGGCAGCAGTGGGGACAAAGAAGTAGCTTGGAAGGCGTCCTCCGTGGCTAAGCAGGACACACGCCTCATTGACTGTTATTTCAAGTTTTATGGGAGGGATTTTTCTTTCATGATTAAGAAGTGCAAGATAAAGTAGATAGAGGTGGTAGCCACTGAACATTGTGAGTATGCCAAACGCCACGGAATTGTCCACTTAAAAGTTTAATTTTTCGTTTAAGTTATGTTATATGAATGGTAGCTCAATTTACAAGTTCTTTTAACCTAAAAAATCTGACATGTTCAAACATTTTCAAAGGTAGTAGCTATGTGGTATCCTGCTTTGGAGAATAACATATAAATTAACTTGTTTCATTGGCCTCATTAAATGGTGTCTGTTATTCCCATGTACAAGCATTGTAGAGATTGAAACATACACAAGTCTGGAAGATTTTCTGAAAGTTAATTCATTTTGGAAAAAGGAAAAGCAGTATCAAGCGGGCCAGATAGCTCAGCTGCTTAAAGCGCCTGCTTAGGCAGAGCGCAGTGGCAGGGTTTTACTCCTGGTGTGCTGTCCCGGCCCGCCCCCAGGGTGCGCTCAGCCGGCTATTGAGCCTGGGTGTGGTGGCGCCTGCTTGTAGTCCCAGCGCTTGGGATGCTGAAAACAGGAGAATCGCTACGAGTCTGATCTACGTAGTGAGACCCTGTAGACCCTGTACTAAATACAAAAATAATAATATAATAATAAGGCAATATATTATAAGGGATTGTAAGTGAAGTATTTCTCTTAGAGAAGGTAGAAGTAATAAACGAGTACTTAATGTATGTATCTTGTAACAGCAGAATATGTGCATTAAAACTAGATAGCACAAACTTTGATGCAGTTGAGACCTATTTTTTTGTACTGGGACTCAGACTCAGGACTATGCACTTGCCACGAGCCCAAGTAAGACTTTTTGATTCTTTGATTCTCCTGTGTATCACAGAAGAAATGGGTACCTCTGACGGAATGTGACACAATTCCTATAAATTTATACCACTAGTGTATTGCTAAGCTTTCATGTGAAATTCCTTGTCACTTAAAAAGGAGTAGTAGCATTTTACCATCTAAAACATGGCATTTGTCAGCATTGCATACTGTCCTGGACCATGCGCGCCAGGTGTTAGGGCAGGATTCAGGTCCCACCTTTACTCTTTATGGTTAAATTCTCTAGCTCTCATTTTCCCCATATGAGAAATGAACATAATAGGAGGCACCGTGTGAGAACGTGAATTAACATAGGCGGAGACTTAATTATTACCCGGCACAAAGTAAATTCTCAATAGATTTTTTTGGAATATTAGGAGACTGAATTTTCTGTGCTTCATTCATCTGTGGTGCTGATGAATGATGAAACCTGCAATACAAGCATTCTACACTCCGCAACCTCCCCAGCTGTCTTAGTTTTCTTGTTGTTGGGTCCAAATACCCAACACCCACAAGTTAAAGGAGAAGGAGTGTATCTCGGTTTGTCAGCTGGCTCCAGGCCAGCAGGGCATGCCAGAGGGGCATCACAGAGAGAAATAGTTCATGGCAAAGCAGGGTAGGCCGAAGGTGGCAGCAGCAACAGCAGTGGCAGGCGTTCCTTGCCCTTTTATCCCACTCAGGCTACAAACCTAATGGATGGTGCCCCCCACCCCAAGGTAAGGGTTCCCATTACCTACACCTAGATCTACGATAAACCACTTAGTGGACTAATCCGGTACCACATGCCTTTAATCCCAGTGTCACACTCTTAATCCACATTTACCCATCCTAGATTTGGCCACCTGCAAAAGGCTCCACCTACGACTGCATGAGGCTCTGGGGGAGGACATCTAGACACAGTGCACAACTCCAGCTCTCAATAAATGTTCTCTCCTTATTTTTGCAGTTTTCTTAAACTGCACTCCGTCAAAGCATATCTGGAGTGATACACATAAAGGAAACCATGGGAAGCTGCTGCTTTACCAGAGGTGTCGTCTGGCTCTGATAGCCAGTGTCAGTGGCCAAAGTGCTCTCCATTCCCCTCTTTCTCACTATATTCACTATGTTTGTCACTGCATTTGAGTATTTCTTTCTGTTTTTTTCTGAACTTGAGTGTTTTTTGCTTATCTTTAAGTTATAAAGATAAGTTTATACCTTACCTTGGGATGGGGGGGCACCATCCATTAGGTTTGTAGCCCAAGTGGGATAAAAGGGCAAGTTACTTATAAACATAAGTAACTTATATTTACTTAATAATGCAGTGGATTTGCAAAACCAAGAAGCTGTAGATAGTGTTCATTTTTAGCTCCTTATGTTTGGTTTAGACATGATCCCTATCATGTTTGCATTTTACTGAGGAGTCTATGAAAACTTGAGAATGAATCTGAGCTGTTTGCCTGCCCTTAAAAGATATAATTAATCAGTGACCACAGTAAGTATTTAATTTAAAGGTTTTCTTTACCTGTTCACCCAGAAGTGTCAGTTACCAGTGATGAGAATTTGCTCACTGGCTATTATTTTAGCTGTGGTTTGGAATTTGTAATCTTCCTGTAGATGAAGTTTTGTGCCCTGTCATTTTCATTGCTAAGCTATCTTTTAAATTTTGCTTTACAGATCAGTGATCAAAACTTTGGAAGAAGGCCCTAAACTTTCCAATGGTGGTGGTAACCATGGCAGCGGATGATAAAGTTGCTATCTTGACTGATGATGAAGAGGAACAAAAGAGAAAATATGTGCTGGCTGATCCCTTCAATGGTATTTCCAGGGAACCAGAACCGCCTTCAAATGAAACACCCTCCTCCACAGAAACGTCTGCTATTCCTGAAGAGGACATAGACTGGATAGAGAAGCACTGCGTGAAAATAAACAATGATCTTCTAATTTCCAAGGTCTTTTATTTTTTCTTTTACTCTGCCTATGGCTCCCTTTACCCACTTCTACCTGTGTATTATAAGCAGCTGGGAATGTCACCAAGCCAGAGCGGACTTCTTGTAGGTATCCGGTACTTCATTGAATTCTGTAGTGCTCCTTTTTGGGGCGTAGTTGCAGATCGCTTCAAAAAAGGCAAAATTGTCCTCCTCTTTTCTCTTTTGTGTTGGGTTTTGTTCAACCTGGGCATCGGATTTGTCAAACCTGCTACCTTGAGATGTGTACCAAAGATCGCCCCGACAACCCACCCAACCAACGCAAGTCACCTGTCAACCACCCTGTCATTGAATTCCTCTGTTCTCCCTTTCCCTAACACGTCACCAAGAATGCGTGAGAAAAGGAACCTGCCTAGTTCTGATTGGCCACCAGCGTTACAAGCAGGGCCTGTTACCTCAGAGATGGACATCTTTACAATGCCTTCTTCAGCCAGGACCACTGAACCCAGCCTGCAGCCCCAGACGGGTGGAATGACGGACCATGTTGTGGAGTTGATCTTGAACACAAGCACAGTGACCCCTGTCCCCACAGGAAACGTAACCAGGGAGACAACCACTGCTCTCGCCACCACCACCAGGTCACTGCCTTCTGCTCATGTCATTCTTGTTTATGACCAACAAGAAGTAGAAGCGATATTCTTGGTGATCTTGGTAGTTGTCATAATAGGAGAGTTTTTCAGTGCCTCTTCTGTCACGATTGTCGATACGGTGACGCTCCAGTATCTGGGGAAACACAGAGACCGCTACGGCCTGCAGCGCATGTGGGGCTCCCTGGGCTGGGGCCTGGCCATGCTGTCCGTGGGCATCGGCATCGACTACACCCACATAGAGGTGCTTATCGATGGGAAGGGGTGCAAGCCCCCGGAGTACCGCAACTATCAGATCGTCTTCATCGTCTTTGGCGTTCTCATGACCATGGCCTTGATCGTGGCTACTCAGTTCCGGTTCCGCTACAACCACTTCAAAAACGACAGCAAAGGAAAAGAGGTGGAGATCCCTCAGGTGGAGAGGAACGCCTCCACGGAGTCCTCTGAGGAGACGCCATCCGCCACAAGCCACTCGCAGACCTTCAACTTCTGGGACTTAATCAAACTGTTGTGCAGCGTGCAGTACGGCTCCGTGTTGTTCGTGGCGTGGTTTATGGGTTTTGGATACGGCTTTGTGTTCACCTTTCTGTACTGGCATTTGGAAGATCTGAATGGAACCACAACCCTGTTTGGGGTCTGTTCTGTCCTGAGCCACGTGTCGGAGCTGACAGCGTACTTTTTTAGTCACAAGCTTATAGAATTGATTGGCCACATCAGGTAAGAAGATACGTATGCTCTCAGGGCCCCTCAGCAAGGGACCTTTATATTATATAGTGTGTAACAAGTTTAGCACAATGAAGGGTGCTAGAATTTGTGTTGAGGGTGGGATTGGGGTGAGAACTTTATTTGCTGCTGTTCCCCCCGAGTGTAGAGACAGAAGGAAAGAAAGCAAGAACCTCACTGGCTTGTCTAAGCCGAGGAAGCCAACACACCAGTATTAGCTGCCTCCCTGCCCAGACTGCTCAGAAGGGACCTGCAGGCCGCTTGGCCATGTGCTGAGGGACTCATATGGTCAGTATTTTCGGGTGTAGGGCACTAACTCCATCAACTGTCTTGTCCCGTAGACTTGAAGGGTCTGTCTGCTCGGGCGTTTATGACAGAGCACTTCCACGGATAAAAAGGGTCATGTTGTTCTGGCCTTCGTGTATTGTTCAGTTACTTACTGACAAGGATAGACCTTGGCTGAGTGGCATCTACAGATGCCAGGGGCTGGGGATGTGGCTCAGGGTGAGGTGCTTGCCTGACACACGCACAGCCCTGAGTCTGATCCCCAGCCCTGAAGAAGAAAAAAACCATTATGTTCAATGAAGTTGTGATGCAACTCAACATAATTCATATCCATCATAGTGCATGGAAGAGCTTCTTATATAACTTGTTTCAAATTCTTACGCAAACCTTTGTATTTTTTATCTTCCTTGAGGAAATGGGCTATTTGAAAATCTCCCTTTGGGGGCCGAGGAGATGGCTCAGTGGAATAAGCGCTTCCCTGGCAAGTGCAGGGGCCTGAGTTCAATCCCTGGTTCCGCGAAGGGGGAAAAAAAAAAATCTCCCTTTTGGCCAGGCTTATAGCTCAGTGGCATAAGTGCCTGCCTGGCAAGTGCAAGGTCCTGAGTTCAATCCCTGGTACAGCAAGATAGATAGATAATCTCCTCTTTACCTGAAACTTCCTATGTTAGCCTTTCAGCCACCAAACAAAACAAAAATAAAAATGCCTACTATTCCTTTGACACCATGAATAATTGCCAAGAGAATGTACCTTGCTGGTTTTTTTTTTTTTTTTTTTTTTTTTTTCCGGAACTGGGGATTGAACTCAGGGCCCTTGCGCTTGCCAGGGAAGCGATTATTCCACTGAGCCATCTCCCCAGCCTGGTTTTTTGTGTTCTATTGATGGCTGTAAAATGTGCACCCTCCAGCTTAAACATTCTTGTCTTGGAGAAAAGGACAACATTGTTGCCCCTAACATTTCAGGGACATCACTAAACGAAAGCAACGCCATACATTTGTTTTTATGTGATAATCTTTAAATCTGCTGTTTCTGTAGGCCATCAAAAAAGGAAATAGATAATGTCAAATAGGCTTTTGTTTCCTTTCTAACTGAAGAAGATGTTTTCTGATTTGAAGTTTCAACCTAGAATCATTCCTTTCCCCTAAACAGTTATGAAGATTTTTTTCTTATTCGGCGTGGTTGTACTTGGGGAGTGTGTGCCCAGGGTCTCTTTCTCAATATTTGACTCCTTTGTTGTCACAAACAAAGTGAGACAGTTGGTGATGGTTCCCAGCGGTGCAGCCAGTTGGAGCAGGCTGACAGGGAGCCTTCTACTGGCAGGGGCTGGGCCACCCTCAGCCAGGTCAGCCACACTCCGATGCTTCTCACTGTGCAGATGGGCGGGGACTCAGCCTTCTCTGCCGCCGGAGTTTCTGAGGGAGCTCACTGCTGATAGTATTTTTTTTAAGCCAGATTTCTTCCAGTAATGTGTTTGCAAGGAGGGGGATTCCTAGATACCAGTTTTCATCAGTCAGTAGCATCAGAATATACACTGCGTTCTGTTTTCAAAGAAATCATTGGCATCCTCTCCCATGGCTAACAAAAGAGTTCTCATCTGCCTTGGCCTTTTATCTGCAGTATTTTCATAATCCTAGTGGGTTCATGACTACTTTTGGTAATTTTATCAGTTTATAGTTGGTTTTTCTTTCTGAGTAGACTGTTGTCTCATTACTTCAAAAAACTTATTGTCCAATTACCCTTTATTTTCTGGTTTTATGTATGAAAAAATATCTTTTCTTATTTAATGATATAATTTAATGATGTAAGGCTCCTTGTGATCACAGGAGCTTGCTGGGATCCCATCAAAACAGGGTCACTTCATGCCCCTGTATTTGTATTCTGTCCATTAAAATGTATTGATTAATTTAAGTACTTTTAATGGGTCTAATAGCTACATTAAGATTATGCCACTGTCTCACTCTTCTCTTATTGCTGGGACAAGTACCCGACACTCAAAATGAAGGAAGGAAAGGTTCATTTAGCTCACAGTTACTGGAGGTTTCAGTCCACACTCAGCTGGCTCCAAGGCACAGTGGAACATGGCAGAGAGCAGCCTTTCATGTCAGCAGCAAAAAGCAGAGAGCAAAAAGGAGTGGCAGCAGCCCAGGCAGCTAGCCAGCCTCTCTCCCCTCCTTACATTGTAATGCACGTGACCTGCTGCAGGATCCACACCCACAATAATCATTCAGAAACTTCAGAAGCCCCCCATGACTGCATGAGGCTTTGAGGGGACATCTAGACACAAACCATAGCAGCCGCATTTGTACTTAGTAGATCTGTTGCTGTTGATAGTGATTCTGAGAGTCCAAATAGGTGGTGGTTGTTGAGATTTAGGGGTTTAGAAGTATAGTGGTAACAGCTTAAATTATAATTTGAAGGATATCATATGTTATAAAGCTGAAGAATTCTTAGTCTTTATGTTTTCCTTGCAGGGATATTAAGGGAGATCTAGCTGGGTCCCTTGTGTATTCCTGTGCACTTTTTCATTATTCCATATCATATTGGGAGTTTTAGAGTTAGCATTACCATAAAATTTGTATATGCTAATTAATCCAGAAGTGTGTGTTCACAAATTCTATATATAATTCAGAATAAAGACTCTGTACCAGAAATCTTTTAAAAACAGCACATTTCAAGGGCTGGGGATATAGCTCAGCAGCATAAGCATCTGCCTGGCAAGTGCAAGATCCTGAGTTTGATCCCCAATATAAGTTTGGGCCCAGTTCTTCAGGGTAGGACTTATTGGCCTAGAACACACACACACACACCCATACACCTGTGCGTGCACATAGGTACACATACCAGAGTAAATGATTTCGGGTTTTGACTTCGGATTTTGTCCTCTAAAAATAACTTTCTCAGGGAAATAGCATAATGCTTAACATTTAGACTAAGAAAATAAATTTCTTCGACATCACAAGACTTTAGAATGTATAGAAATTACATTTTTAGGCCCTTTTATGTAAGGCTAATTAGCTACAGGTATTTTATGTATCCTTGCTGAGTCAACACCTGTGCTCAGGGCTGTGACCAAAATAAATAGTATGAGTGGTTTGTAAATTTGTAGATCATTGTTATCCAATATTTTCCTAGTAAGAGACACACAAAAATATACTAGATCGATTTACCCCCCAATTTTTTTCCTGTGTAGACCTGAGGATTGAAGCTAGGGCCTTTGTACTGAGTTACATCCCTCCCCACTTTTTAAAAAAAAATATTATTTTTATTTTGTGTCACTAAGTCATGAAGTTGCTTAGGCTGGTCTCAACCTTGCAGTCAGCCTCCACCCTCCCACACGCTGGAGATAACAGGTGTGTCACCATCCCCAGCTGTCACCATGAAATTCTCACATTGGGGGTCAGTTTTATCAGGTACTTACTGTCCAGAGGGGATAGTCCCCACCCATTTTAGCTGTGAATTACTCCATCGTAGCCAAGCATCTGTCTGGGTTGGCCCAGCTTGTGGAAGAAGGGAATGCATGACGCGTAGAGCAAGAGGAGGAGCAAGGCTTTCCTGAGGGGCGCGGCAGGGGAAGCCAGGCGAGGCGGTGGGGCGCTGGCCCAGACTCCACTGAGGGTGCCTGGGAGAAACAGCAAGAAGAACGGGAAGGTGCAGCTGGCTGACTGATTTGAACTGGCCCTGAGAGACGGAAAGCATGTCTGTCTTTAGATTCTGTCTGTTTGGTTCTTCTTTGTTCCTCCCACTGCTTCATGCCACCTCCTGGTCCTGGAATGAGGACCCGTGGGTGCCTGGCTCCCTGACAGAAGCCCACTCCCACACCACCCTGCGCTTCTCAGGCGGAGCCCCCGTGGCAGTCGCTGCAGTGAGGAAAGAGCTCAGAAATAGAACTCAGCTCCTGATGCAAAAACACGCCACCGGTGGGCTAAACTGTTTTCCTTTTTGATCTCTTAAGGGAGGATCAGTTCTCTTCAAAGACTTTTACCATGGTGAAAAAAATTGTTTCCAAAGGTTCAGTTTTCCTAACAAATTTGAAAGTATGTGAGACGTCCCCCAGAGGAGCAAGTCTTCCTCTATAGTATTTTAAAGTGACCCCTGAGTATATGGTCATTGTAGTGGAAGAGATACTTAGAATCCCAGATCCATAGGATACAGAGCTCTGAGGGAGGGAGGTTGGAAAATATACGTGGGTGCTGAGCCTCTCTGGAGCAGCGGAGTCACGGGGCTCAAAGCAAAGGAGCGCCATCAGCCTGCGGGATGTCACTTGCATATACATGGTGCCAGGTAGCTTCTCAGCTGCGATTTGGTGTTACCAGTGCTGTGGTATTTACTGCCGCCCATGTCCTCGTCTTGCTTTAGGGACAGTTAGCTCCTTGGGCATCCCGGTGCCAGGGCCTGAAGCAGGCACCCTCGGTGGGTGTCACTGAGTGGACCCAAGACATGAAGGAGGCAGAGAGAAAAAGCAGAAGTACAGGGAAGAGGGAAGAAAGGAAAGGAAAGCAGAGAAAGGACATAGCTGCTCTATCTAGGGAACGACTCCCTTCTGTCCTTATTTATGAAAGGCGGGGTTCCTATTACATGGCGGATACAAGCGTGACCTCAGAGTCCATTGCCTCATTTGGAGCCTGGATCTGCCTCTTGGACCTTTGACAAGTTACAGAACTTACTGTATATCTCTTCTGCCATCATGAAATAGGCATATTGTTAGTACCTT